ATCCATGATGTTCAGCTAAGGCCCACCTTGGCCAAGGAATGCAATTCTGTCTCTTGGCCTGTATTGAGAGACATGAACTAGGAAACTGCTCCTGGCTCTGTCTTAGAATCTCTCTTTTTTTTAAGCTCTATCAGGTTTTATGTAAAAATTATTGCCAAACACCTGGGCACCAAATGTAGACAGATGAATCTCTCCCACCTGCCTGTTCCTGAGTACCCACTCAGAGGCTTAATATTAATTACAAACTCTTTGGTCTATAGCTCATGCTTATTACTAGCTAGCTCTTACATCTTAATTTAACATATTTCTATTAATGTATGTATCACCATGTGGCCGGTGACTTACCTGTACTTTCACATCTTGCTTCTTAGGTAGTTCACTGGCTTCTCCACAACTCCGTCCTCTTCTCCCTGTATCTCTGCAGCTTCTTTATTAACTACTGGTAATAAAACATATTCACAGCATACAGAAAGACATCCCACAGCAGGTTACATTCTATTTTTCAAGTGAATAATTATATTGAACACAGGAAAAAACAACATGTTTGTCATCTCTCTTACATGATTAAAAAAAGTCATCCCAAGAACCCACATACATTTACATCTAAGTAACATTTTTTTTTACAAGACAATTCAGTTCTACATATCAGCATGGATTCCCTTGTTCTCCCCCTCTCCCACCCCCCTCACCTTCCCCCCAGCCCATCCCCCATTCCCACCTCCTCCAGGGCAAAGCCTCCCCCAGGACTGAGATCAACCTGGTAGACTCAGTCCAGGTAGGTCCAGTCCCCTCCTCCCAGGCCGAGCCAAGCCACCCTGCATAGGCCCCAGGTTTCATACAGCCAACTCATGCAATGAGCACAGGACCGGGTCCCACTGCCTAGATGCCTCCCAAACAGATCAAGCCAATCAACTGTCTCACACATTCAGAGGACCTGATCCAGTTGGGGACCCCTCAGCCATTGGTTCATAGTTCGTGTGTTTCCATTCGTTTGACTATTTGTCGCTGTGCTTTATCCAACTTTGGTCTCAACAATTCTCGCTCATATAAACCCTCCTCTTTCTCGCTAATTGGACTCCTGGAGCTCCACCCGGGGCCTAGCCATGGATCTCTGCATCTAGATCCCTCAGTAGTTGGATGGGGTTTCTAGCACGACAATCACATGAGAATAGGAAGAAGCAAAGTGCTAGAGAGGCCCACAGAAATCCACTAAGTAACTTTTTATAGATTAACAGGGTGTGAGCAACCATGGTATTTTTCTCAGCTGGTTCTTTTGCTGGCAGGTTGCATATTATGGTTACAAAGAGAGAATCAATCACTTTTATTACTTATATTAAAAGGTAATCTTTTAAGGAATTTTAAAAGAATCACAAACCTAAGCTTTAACATATGGAAAACAATCAATTAGCCCTACTTTAAATATTTGGGGTACATACCCACTCAACAATAGTTGTTTATTTTTTTATTAGGAGATTGGGGGTATAAATGTGTACAAGAAATTAACCAACATCTTTGATCAACAACCAACCCTAGCAAGGAAATTACTTCAGCCTGAAATAATTGGGCTTCTTTAGTTTTTGATCCCTAACCTAATGAATTAGCTATGTGTCCTTGTGAACTTTAGATTGTTTTTAGTGTTTTTCATCTCAAAGCTATTATCAAAACATCTTAGTCTAACCTGAAGTTATTGTAAGGCTTTGTTTCAGCTATGATGCATACTGAAACCTGTGAACCATCTCTCTACATTAAGATGAAAAGAATTTAAGTTATCTGGGCTATTGGGACTTAATTGATTTTCTTAATCTTAACCTTAGCACCAACTATGTGGCTCCTCAATAGAAACTCATGTGTTTTAGCTGTGTGACACTTTCTTGTTTTATTTCTTATCCTCTGTAGCCCCTGCTTTATCAGAGGCAAGTATAACATTTTTTGGTTGATTTTTCCACTAGACTAATCTCTATCAATACCTTACTATATTTATTAAAGACTTTCAATCATCAAATACTATTTAAACTAACACTATTATTGTATAAAATCATTACTTCAGTTAAACAGGACAGCTTAGGAGGATATCATCTCCATAATAATCCTTAGGTAAAAATGCCCAGTAGAATGGGATATTTCCAAGAGATGATCATACTGCATTATGGGTATCGAGGATCTCCTGATTCCCATTCACACCATGCCAGCTACCAGAGGAAGATGGCAGCAGCAAACATGTGAAGGCCCAGCATACACAAAAGACATCCTGGGGTCTGTGGTCTCAGGGCCTTTTCTATCTGAAATTCACCCATCAAGGTTTTATTTGCTGAAGGCCAATCCCCTGAAGTCAATTGCCATCTGCTGCTCTTCTGTCATCACCAATGGCATGCATGAGAGTGTGCTCCTGCTCTGTTTGATTTTTCCCTGACTTCCTCATTCTACATACATCCCTCTTCTACACATCTCTCTTCTACATATCTTCTCCTACACACATCTTTATACAGATATTGCTCCATCTCTCTACACAGCTCTCTCTTCTACATAACTACTCATCTGCCTCTCCATGTAGCTCTCCCTTATAGCTCTCTTTCACAGCTCCTCTACATAGCAACAGTTCTCTCACAGAAAAAAAAATTCTGGACAAGTATATGAGCTACATTATGAGGGTCAGAGCCATTCAATAACATATGAGAATCATTGGTTCTTTCAGGCTATGGATGACACATTGGCCAGTCAGTTAGTGAGTGGCAGTGCATGGCTGTCAGCCAAGCTCCTTGGTGAGGAGGCAGGGGCCACAAAGGCTGAGTGGTCAGCATTTTGCAACAGAAAGTGACATTGAAATGCAGGACTTAAACAATAAACAGTTTGTTGTCTAAACCTCGAGCCTTGTGTCATAAACTGAAGCTGGGAATGTGTTCAGAGAGTCAATTGCTGAGAGAATTATGTCTACTAAAGTTGCTTTGTGCTTGATTTTAGTTCAACAAACACTTGGGAATTTGTCCTTGTGCCTATTTTGCAGGGGCAACTAGTCTATTTTGAATTTACTCTAAGGCCTAAAATCAGCTAAAAAAAGTTGTCTTTGTAGCCAAGAATACTGTTATTTTCCTATGTCAGCCTGAGATATGAAAAATATCCTGGTATTATTTCTATTCATCAAAATTATACAATTAATGAGAAGTCATCTTCCTGACCATCCACAGATGTATGTGCCCATAGGATTGAGATGTAATCATGAGATTAAATATACACATCACATGAGATTACTCATTACAGTGCAGGTGTTAGGGAGACACCACAGTGTTTGTGCAGATGTGAAATTACAGACAGAAGCAACAGTGTTCAGAGTTTGTGGCACCATGTTTGCTTGAACAGTGTTCCTGCATCAGAAAATTATTCATCTGGTGTGTTGATGCTTGAACTATCAACTGCTATCTGTTGTATAATGCCATGGCTCTTGGAATTCACAGACCAGTGATTCACTCTCTTTGTTACAAAGCACTTTATTATTACACAAATATACTATGATATTTCTCCATATGTGAACATATGGTGTGTTTCTAAGTTTTGACAGTTATGAGTTATTGCAATTATGAAAGCTATCATGCCAATTTGTGTACAAGTCACTGTGTAAGCATGCATTTTTCTTTTTAGTAAGTATCTTTTTATTTATTTAGTGAACAGTTGCTATCTTCTGTATCATTTCTTCCCTTTGCACATTAAAGGCACATACATGATTTTCTGACTGTACCCATGAGCATGTCTCATGGCTGTCTAATATATATTCTATTCCTAAATTATCTAACCTTTCCTATCTATGTCCCATAAGCCACTTGGTTTCACTTATCTTTCTTCTAAATTTCTGTGGCAAATTTGAATATTTCATTTCTCTCCATCTTAAATCCAACATTCAAAGAATGTGATCTATTTTGCTAAATACTGATTGATTTAAAGTCTCAGTTCTATGTAATGTGAGTGGGTTTCATTCTTTGTCTGACATTCTTTGTCAGAGTCTTATCAGTCCACACTAGCTTCAAACTTTTATATATTGAAGTGTGGCTCAAATCCCTATGTCTTAAACTGTGATTCTCCTACCTTCATCTCCAAAATACTGGAACTATAATTGTGTCCAACCATATTAGGCTGGATTTATTATTGAGGATCTCCATTTTGAATTCATTCTTTAGTCAGCTTCCTCTATCCATTAGGGGGGAAACAGGCTACAATGCTTCCCTGACCATTTGAGATATTTTCCAACTACTGCTAACACCTCAGCCTGAGCAGGAATCTGACTTCTGTCAGTTTTTACAGGATGATTTTAATTATTAATTAATTACTTCTTGATTTCTGATTTTGTTACATAGCTCAGGTTGAACTGGAACAGTCCTTCTGTTTTAGCTTATGTACTAATTTATTCTGTTTTCTAATTTTAATATGTTTTTTATTTTGTATTTAATTTTTTCTTTTTTAAGAAAGGTAGTTATGGCTTCTAATATAAAATCCTGTAGAAATCATAGTTGTGTTGCATATAAGGTATTCAGTAGATTATCATGTTTCAGAGGAGACCCATTAACTATGAGATGGGGGAAGAAGAAAGGGAAAATAGCCCAAAATATTAGTTATAAGTCTTCATCTGTGACTGTATTCCAAATTTTCCCTCTCTCGTTAAAACACAAGTATATGAGACCCTGTTCTGTGTGCTACATGCATTTGTTTATACCTAGCACATTTATTGACAAAATATAAGTGGGAAAGAAAGTTTAGCATAAAGTAATTCCTTGGAAATATTAAAAATCAGTTTTACCTGCTGATCAAAAATTGCAAGTGTGGAATAAGATGGGATTTTGGTATGATCAAGAGATCATTTCTTTTTAATGAGCTTAGACAATAAAACCATTTCAGTGATGAACTTATGATTAATAGTTCCATATTCTGTATATTTTGGCAAATAGAAATTTTAAAATCATGACATTTCAGTGAATGTTCAAAATTAAATAATTGACTATTATTTTTGACTTTAGTGACTTGAACACAGCGAAATTTGATCATTATACTGGAACATGTGCATTTTTATCTAGAACAAGACTAGATAATGATAACTGTGACCAACTCTACCCCTGTATCTGTGAGAAGAGACTGGATAAATTCACTGATTCATCCTGCAGCAAGAGCTAAAGGCAAAATGGAATGTTCTGATCCTCATTTGTTTCCTGTAATAATTTATGACTCCTTGTGAACAAGTGTTTGGTCACAGGGCTTGGTTCTCTGTGTAAACAGAGAGATGAGCTGGAAGAGGTTGAAAATATTCTCCCAAATCTGACTTGGCAGAGCAGAGGCCATCTTTCTTCCTGGAAGACACAGAACACATCTTCTCTGGTGCATGTCTCAAGCCCTGAAGAATCTGCTCTTTCTGTTTACTTAAACACCCATAGAACTAAATAAAGAACCCTAAAGAACAGCCTGACTATTTCATTATCAATAGGATAAATCGTCTCAATTGAAAGCACACTTAAAAATTACAGTGCAGTTATAAGCTTCAATTTCTTAGTTGTTAGTTGATTGCTGTTCTGTTTTATTTTGTGTGTTTTGTTTCACATAGAAGTTTTCTTCATTGTTATAAACATTTCATTTGCCCATAAAATTTAGTTTCAAATTTGGTGAATATTTGCAAGTATAGTTCAAGGAACTGCTGAATACATTTTATCCAAAACATCAGTTTATGCCATCCTTCTTTAAACCATTTATGATAAGTTGAGGCCTTATACAAAAGGTGGTAATAATTGAAGTTGGCTAGATGTAGTGCCTTACACTTGTAATCTTAGCAATTAGGAGGCTAAGACAAAATTGCTGAAAAAATTAATACAGTGAGAGCCTGTGTCAAGGAACCAAACAAACCAAACAAAATTGAGGCCCAAAAGTTCCAAAGTATTTTCCAGGGGCATCACTTTATGTTATACAACCATACCCAAGTAATCAAACTTAGGACATTTAGTATTGATACAATAATTTGATCTAATCTAGGATCCGTGTACTCATCTCCTGACTGGATAATGTCACTCTAGGTATTTCCTCCATGTTCAGGTTCACGTGCATTCAGTGCTGATGTCATTTTTGTGTTCTTTAGTCTTGCATAGTTTTTTTTGGTGGTGGTAGTTTTTTGTTTGTTTGTTTCTTTTTTTGAAGACAGGGTTTCTCTTTGTTACCTTGTCTGTCCCAGAATTCTCTCTGTATAGCAGGCTGACCTGGCACTCAGAGATTTGACTGCCTCTGCCACCTGAGTACTGAGTACTGAGATTAAAGATATATATGCTAGCCTTGGCCACCCTAAATCTTGTTATATCGACAAGATTGACCTCTAACTCATGGAGATACACTTACTTTTGCCCCCCAATTGCTGGGGTTAAAGACATGCAACACCATGTCCAGCTGAGAAAATATGGACTTTAATAAGTACACTATTTATCCTCCATTAAATCCAAGCAGAACATTTCCATCTCCTTTCAAAGTCCTTTCTTGTCCCTAGGTGTACTCTTACACAGTATGCACAGTAAGTTGGTTCTATTCCCATTACAGCTTTGTATCTTCCTTCTTTTCCTCATAACATTTTAAACATTAACTGACAATTTCTTCTTCTTCTTCTTCTTCTTCTTCTTCTTCTTCTTCTTCTTCTTCTTCTTCTTCTTCTTCTTCTTCTTCTTCTTCTTCTTCTTCTTCTCCTTCTTCTTCTTTTCAAGGCATGGTTTCTCTGTGTAGCATTGCGCCTTTCCTGGATCTCCCTCTGTAGACCAGGGTAGCCTCGAACTCACAAAGAAATGTCTGCCTCTGCCTTCCAAGCACTGGGATTAAAGGCGTGCACCACCACTGCCTGGGAAATTTCTTCTTTTTAAAAATAATATTTTTACTAATTCTTTGATAACTTCATGCCATATTCTTTTGCCTTTTTTAATCATATTCACTTCCCCTGGTTCAATTCCTTCCAGTTTATTCCTACCTCCCTATGCACTCAACTCCCTGTTTTGTTTTGTTTTTTTTCCTCTGTTTCTTTTTCAAACCCATTGAGTCCAGTTGTGTTGGTCAACTACCTTTGCATATTGGGACTACCCTGGAGTTGGTTCACTGAAAATATTAATAAAATCGACAAACCTGTGGCCAAATTAACTAAAATATACTGAGAGGATTCAAATTAATAAAGTCAGAGATGAAAAGGGAGACATGATGGACACTGAGAAAATATAGGCAATCATGAGGACATACCTTAAAAAAATCTACTTTCCATTCATATAAAAATTGGCTACCCTTAAGTTTGGAGCACAGGGAGGGGGACACTTCCAAAATCTTTTTATGATGCCAGCAAATATTTATTGGAATACCTTCCTGTTGGAATTTTCCTTTAGTGAGTATGAAATGACCTCCCTTGCTGCTTCTCACTAGTTTTGACCTCTATTTTGTCAAATAATAGAAAAGTACACCTTCTTGTTTCTTAGTTCCCTGTGCTTGGAATATCTTTTCCACTCATTCCTCCTAAGTTCATATAAGAATTACTTTTCTAATGTTTGATAAAACACCATGATTTAGACAAATTATAGAAGAAAGGGTTTATTTTAGGCTTATGGTTCAGTAGGCTAGGTTCCTTGATGGTTGACCATAGACATGTTGGAGGAAATAACTGAGAACTTACATCTCAAATCACTTACAGGAAGCAGAGCCTGACCTCTGTGACATGCTTCATCCAGGAAGACCACACCTCCTAATCTTCCCCAAATAACCACCAACTTGGAACCAAGTGTTCAAATATCTGAAATTTATATGGTACATCTCATTTAAACCATCCTTGGTGGTATTCACAAGTTAGTCATGTTTCTAGAAGATTTATTAAAGTAACTAGTGAAAAAGAGAGAAAAGAAATGTGCTCAATGTGACTATCACTGAGAACAACAACAACAAAAAAACCATTCAGTGAACTTCAGGTCCATCTTTACTGTTCCTGGCATGAGGCTTAGGTTTAAACAGAGTTCATGAGATATGCATAAAGAAACAGTAGTGTTCATCATTTGGTTCCAATTTTCACTTCTGTCTTTGCTTCAGTCCCTTTGCAAGAAGTTTATAGAACCCTTTGCCATAATTGTTATCTGCTGTGGGATGTCTTTCTGTATGCTGTGAATATGTGTTGCTCTTATTGGTTGATAAATAAAGTTAAATTGGCCTATGGCAGGGCAGGGTGGAGCCAGGAGGGAAAGTTCAAGAAAGATAGGAGAGAAGAAAAGAGAGTGGGGTAGACGCTGCTAGCCACTGCCAGGAGAAGCAATATGTAAAGTACCGGTAAGCCACAAGCCATGTGGCAAGGTATAGATTTATAGAAATGGGTTAATTTTCTATATAAGAGCTAGCTAGCAAGAAGCCTGCCATGGCCAGAGTTTGAAAATAATATGTCTCTATATGTTTATTTGGGTCTGAGCAGCTGCGGGATCAGGCAAGACACAGAAAAACTTCCAGCTACAGTAATCTGCATAAAGAAAATGTAGGCATAAACTGAGTTAGACCATTACTTAGAGCTGTTGATCCAATATGGTGACCTCTGGTCACCTGTAGCTGCTGGGTCCCTGGGAAGTTAGTGACTTACATAATAACTATAAAAATTAATTCCATGGAAATATTAAAACAGACAAAAAGCTAAGGATTCTGTGTAGTTCCAAACTATGTTTTAAACCTCTAGATTCGAGTCCCATAAACTCAGAACTTCTTCATTCCCACATGAAGCTGTCAGACCCCAAGGAATCCCTTCCTGACATCTAAGATAGCATTTTTCCAACTCTCTCTTTACATTTACTCTTACACAATTACTTTGTTTCCCTTTCTTAGACTGAAACTTACTACAGGAAACCAAGTGGAGGATAAGAATACTACAGGAATAACACAGCATAAGGTTTCTCTTTTTCATATTCTGGAAGGGCTTCAAACTTTTAGTGGTGTTTGGTTGAATCTTACATAACCATTATCATAAGTTGGTAGCAACTTTGAGTTTTAAAACCACCCAAAGGACATTTTCTTCTGCCATCCCCACCAGAGATTCACTCTTCCAGATGCCTAGTTGCCCTCATGGCCACTGATACCACCCCTCCTGTGAAAACCTATGATAAAGTTGGATGCAGATTTTCTAGATGCTTTGCATTCTCCTAACTTATATTTTAGCTATCTTGACCCATACTATGGCAGGCATACCATAGCCACACATTGTCAGAAAGACAAGAACCAAAAATTAGGGAGATTTAGAAATTCAGTGGTCTTGAAATGCTTTTGAGTCACTGGGTGAAACAGACTTTTCATTATATCTGTGTGAATACATGCCTAAGGACTACATACTTGTAACTGGAGTTTTCAAAAATAGTTTTAAAAAAGAAAGTTTTTAAAGAGACAGTAAAGGTATTATAAAATATAAGCCATGTAAAGATAGATATCACACAGAGAATCTGGATTGTGTTGTCTTTGGTATTTTTACTATGTGAAAGTTAAAACCTTCCTTTTTAAAAAAAAGAAAAGGGGAAGTGCTGTGGGATGTTCTGTATGTTAAATGTGTTGCTCTGATTGGTTAATAAATAAAGCACTGATTGGCCAGTAGCCAGGCAAGAAGTATAGGTAAAACAAGGAGAGAGGAAAATTCTGGGAAGTGGAAGGCTGAGCCAGAGAGAAGCTGGAGGCCTCCGCTGCCAAGAAAAGTGAGATGTAAGGTACCAATAAGCCACGAGCCACATGGCAACTTATACACTAATAGATATGGATTAATTTAAAATATAAGAAGTAGATAACAAGAAGCCTGCTGCAGCCACACAGTTTGTAAGCAATATAAGTCTCTGTGTGTTTACTCGGTTGGGTCAAAGCAGCTGCAGGACTTGCATGTGAGAGAGATTTGTCCTGACTATGGGCCAGGCAGGACCAGGAAACTCCAGCTACACATACATACAGTTGTTATGAGTTTCAGTGAGCTTCTGAAAACAGAAAAATATAACAGTACTTGTAATTTCTAGAAGTAGAAATGGGCTCAAAGATAAGGTAAAGCATTTGGATCTCTCATAATCATTCTGGATTTATTACCCCTGTAGCTATAAAATTTAGCCTTATAACCTGGCAGTGCAGTATGTTGAAAAGATACCAATGTGCAAAATAAGATGATCTACAAC